CTAAAATGTTTTATATTATAAATCTAATTTTAAATTTATTTTTTAATAATTGCATTATAATTTTTAAGTTTAAATCTTTGATTCGATTGACCAAAACAAAAAATCGACCCAAACCAATACAACTTGAGTGGGTCAGTTTTCACAAAAGATTAGTCGATTTTAGCTAACCAACTACCCAACCTGACCAGGTCAATTTGCTTGGCCAAATAGTCTCCGACCAAACCGAACCAATTCATTAACACACATAATTTCAGTTAAATTAATAGTCTCATCTCTGATAAAGAACAATAGTTTAATCTCCAATAATTATTAAAAATTTATAGCAAAAATACACAATTATTGAAAATATATTGATAATGAAAAAAATACAATAAGTACAAAAAAGATATTAACTTAGTCAATAAATAGTATAATCTCAAATAATAGTTTAATCTCTAATAAATATTAATCAATAAGTTATAACAAAAATACAATAAGTACAATGAATTAAATTTAAAAATTTCACTAATAGTAGTTTAATGTCCAATAATTATTAAAAGTTTTCTATTAAATAACAAAACAAAATAAATTTATACATAATCATTGAAAATACATTTATCATAAAAACAATAAATAAATACTAAAATAAAATAAATATTATTTTTAGTATATACAATTTTATAATAAATACAAATTAAGATTTTAAAATTATTATGATAAATATTAATTTTTTTAAAGTTATTTTCTCAAATTATTACTTGATATAAGTGAAATTAGTTATTTACAATATTATATAAAAATATTAAATTATTATTAATTTCAATATTATGTTATAATTATTTTTCTACTTTTTAGAAATTTTATAAATTTATTACATAATTTCTTTATTTTAACTATTTAAAATCTAGTTATGTTAAATATCTAGTTATTTAAATATTTAAATCAATTATAAAATATTAATTTTTTTTGTTTTTTGAATTTTATTTATTTAAAGCTATTACATATTATTAAATATTTTAAAAGCATTTAAATTGATGATCTGGAAAAACATAATTTAAATTGTTAGTACAAAATTTCGTGATATATTTTGTAAAAATACAAAATTATTTATTAGATAATTTCGTTATTTTAACTATTTAAAATATAGTTATGATAAATATTTAGTTATTTAAATATTTAAATAATCTATAAAATATTTAAAATTTTTTGGTTATTTGAATTTTATTTATTTAAAGCTATTACATATTATTAAATATTTGAAAATCATTTAAATTGATAATCCAGAAAAAAACATAATTTAAATTGTTAGTACATAATTTCGTGATCTATTTTGTAAAAATCTAAAGTTATTTTTTTGTGTTTTAATAAATATTTTAAACTTATTATATAATTTTGTTAGAATATTTAAATAATTCTTAATTTTTTTTTAATTCAATGTAGGGGAGAGGATAAATAAGAATTAGAGATATTTTAGATGAAAAAATCTCTACTAAATTAGAGATAATTGTGAAGATAAATTGGAATTAGAGATAATTTAGAAGATAAATAGAAATTAGAGATAATTCTGGAGAAAGTGGGAGAAGTAGTTTAGGATAAATTTTAGGAGAAGAGATTATTTAGGTTATTGAGAAAGTGCATCTCATTGGTTGTTGCAAAAATGACATGAAATAAAAAAACAAAAAATTTAAGAAAGAGAAAAAATTTCTTGACAGCTTTGAGTATGCCAATCACAATGTCCACATTTAGAATTACTTGTGAATATATGTTTATAGATTCTAAATCACGTAACACGTGGTGTTTGCCAATCACAATGTCCACATTTAGAATTACTTGTGAATATATATTTATAGTTTCTCAATCACCTAACACATGGAGTATGCCAATCACAATGTCCACATTTAGAATTACTTGTGAATCATATTGATAAATAAAATTTGTTTTGACATGTAAACAACAAGAAACTCAAAGCAAACTTTTTTAACTAAACATATACGAATATTTGGTTGCGTTTGAAAATGGTGTAAATGCCAGTTCGGTGGAGAATAAATCAGCCTCCCACAAAATCCCACCCCACGGCACATCCTACCATGTATTGGGAACATCTTCCAATGATGATATCAGAAAGCGAGAATGTGCTGTGGGACGTTGTGGAGGCCAATCTAGTGGGGGCTGATTTTATTTGAAGTCAGTTCTGCGTATTATTACACCCCATACCCTTAATATCGAAGTAAATTTGAAATCTTGTTAGAATTTACTTCGATCTTCGGGTGAAAATCTACTTCGATTTTAACGATGTAAATATTCACGCCCATTTCCATCGATGGAAATAGGTGAAAAGTTTACCTTCATCTTCAACCTACGACGACAGCGAAGGAGGCAATGAACTCCCTCCCTCCCAACTATTCTCTCCTGCCACCGACCTCTTTCCCTCTGGTAATCTCCTCTCTCATCCTCTCACTCTCTTACAACCATCGCTCGTCTCCTCCTTCCTAATCTCGTATCTATCTGCCACCGCCGCTACAACTCTTGGCAGCGGTGGTTCGGTGATCTCTTTCTCTCTCTATCAATCGCTCAATCTATCGTTCGTCGTCCCTCACATCTCAACCTAACCTCGAAGGCGGCGTCAGATAAAGCCAATCTACTCACATTTATTGTATCCTCATCGTCATCCTTTATATGATAGTGATTCTCCTCAGGTTTCCTCTTCATTTTCTCCCTCATATACGACACTGTTGGTCAATTTCTTCATCCCCTGTTTTCCACTCGAGCTACAGCAGCGGTGATTTCCGGTGAGGTATCACCATTTTCTCAAATCCCATTTATACTCTGACATCTACCTCCAAGAACAAACGTTCCGAATGCAGGAATACTCCCCTATTGCAACATCCCACATCAGGCTGATATATAATTCAGAGACGATGACGGGGTTTTGTAGAGCCATTGTCTGTGAAATTTTTGGCCAACGACAAATGCGGTAACATATTCATCGTACCTCTTTCTTTTGTCTTTTATATATTGTTATCCGCTTTGTTTAAGTATCTTTGTGTGGTTGTTGTGAGTGGTTTAAATATCAGAGATAGGCTCTGTTTTGCTAATTTCTGGTTTGATTAAACATGTGGTTTTACTTTCTGGTTCAGTTGCATCGAATAGGACGATTTGGGATTAAGGGAGTTGTATAGTTTAGTCATTCGGGACTGAGATAAGAGGTTTAAAATCTGTTGTGTTATTTGATGCAACTGGGATGGGAGACAGTCGAATGCTTGTTTACATCGTTGTAAGTTTCCAAATGCCGGAAAAAGTGCACTAATGTTTTACATAGTTGCTGCCAAACAAGATGGGAGGAAATCAAACATACAAAAGTAAACCGGTTTGTATTTTTTGAAGCCGGTAGAATGTTAATTTACCCCCTAAAAATTTGCATTTACATCATTTCCAAACACAGCCTTAAGGATTATAATGCTTTTACATGGTTGGAAAACTTCGATTATTTCTTTTTTCTCACTTGGTCCTATATGACTCAGCTTAGTTGCATGGTTCAACCCGAGTCTTGGTTTTTGACAAGTAATCCATATTAAAATATTATAAGTATAATAATGATAAATCAATAAAATAGGAGAGATATGTTAAAGTAATAAACACTAGAAGAAATTTCAGAACTGATGAGAAAATATCATCAAATTGTTCATCTTTTCTAAAATTTCAACTTTCAACATCTTAGAATTCATATTGTTAACACATCAAGTACAAGTTGACTCATTGACTGGGTAAACTCAGAAAACTTGGTTGAAGTCAGCCAAACCGGGTGAACCTACTCTTGGATGATTTTTATCCTCCTGGTTAACCATGACTCTTGACCAGGTAGGCATTTTCTTTTTTTACTTGAATCAGCGAGTCATCTCAGTCAGGTGTAAAAGATTGGGTTCCGATTGGGCCAGGTCTCCCTGCTTACAGAATTAACATTTCTCATTTAATTACACAACTCCCATTACATAATAGGAACCCAAGAGAAAGAACAATCCTAGAATGAGTTCCGTTTTGAGAAAATCAACTTATCTCAAAGGAAACATGCAAAGATGCGCCATGAATCATGGCACTGAATCACCTAGCATTAGCAACCACAACTGCAATAATGTAGTGTGTTGACCCTCTTGCAATTGATCCATTATAACAATGTATGTTCTGATATACTTCCTTTGTGGAAACTAATTAATTAGCTTAAACAACTTCTGGTACATTATGTTGTTCTGTTATTGAGTTACCTCAGAACATGGAATATCCAAGATAGAGGATGGAGGATCAAATCAATATGAATCCAAGCAAAACAATCAGCAGTTACCACAGTACAAACTAGAAACTTCAGACTTGAAAATTTTCAGTATGGGGAGGCAACTCAGCCAATTTTTCCATATCTCACTAAATTCTGGTACAAGTGTGACTCTGAGTTGTGAATATGAATCACCATAACCCCATTGGCTTTCTTTGAGTTGAGACATTTACCTCAAATCACAATTGCTGCTCACATTTGGGAATTAACAGGCAACCTGCTGAAAGGGGAATGCAATCGAATGGATAGAGTGTGGTGTTAGTAAAGAATCACCGTCTCATCTGTTGCCTGTGCGTATCCTTGTGTGTGGCATGATAATGTTTGGATCTGGAATATGCCTCAAACATTGTCTGGTTGCTCTCATTTTCTGCAATGAAAACGACCAGGCAATCTTAGAGGGGTTGATCAAATAACCCAATGAACATATGCACACACCTAAACACACCAACTGCTGTTTGGTATACAGACTCTTAACTATCCCAAGTACCCCAAGTCAGAAACAGCAGCATGGGCACATAAATGGAGTAAGCTTGTTGATGATTTGGGGGTACAGAGGACAACCTTGTTGATGACTCGGGGAAAACTTTAACCCTACATATAAAGTTTTAACTTTCTTTTATCTTTTATATCTTCGACTTTTGGCCTCTTGTGATTTGACTATCTACATTTGTAATTTCATATTAATAAATCCCCAAAAGAAAAAACGGGCCTGAGTATTCAACTAGATGGAGAAATTAAGAAAATTACACAATTACACAATACTTATGCTAGCTATGTTTTCACTGAAGATTGTGATCAGAAGTAAAATACAAAGGTACACAAAACAAGAGTAAATAATCACATAATCTCAAATACATTAACTCACTAAGCACCCCTCGCCTCACTTCACAAGTCATACACTTGCTTGCCGGTGAACTTGACCTCGATGGGGCTGACGTTCTTTCCGATTGATCGGAAGTTCTGCCCAACTCCTTGACGGCCGGGGTTCACCTTCTCGGGGTAGACTCCGTCCTTGGGGTGAAGATATTGGACCTCTCCATTAGGGAAGACCCTGTAGAATTGGTACTTGATCTTGTACTTGGACCTCAGTCTAGTTCCAAGGGCCAAGCACTGCTCCTTCCTAGCCAATTTGAGCAAATTAGGGCCCTGCCTCATTATGGCTGCACCTCCGGTGGGCATCTCAAATATCTGTTCCTTGGGGGAGTCCCATGTAATCACATAGAACTCTTCGACTTGTGCCTTGCGTAACAATCCACCAGTGCTTCCGCCGAAGATCGGAGACGGTGTGTTGGGGTCCAACTCAGGTGGGGTGAAACCCACAGGAGCCTCTGCTGGAGGGGCCTCAGTCTTCCCATCTGCGGCTGAAGCCCTGATAGTCCGATGTGCCAGAGACAGGTTGAGAGGCCTAGGACTGAGGAACGACAACGACGACGATGATGGTTTCCACGGAACAAGGGCACGGTTGCCTGAATTTGGAGTAGAGAGGGTTGGGGTGAAGAGACCAGCTTGGGTTGCCATGGCCATGGAAGTGGTAATGAGGGGAGATAGTAGTGGTACTGCTACTTGTTGTTTGGGATCGTCGGGGAGAGAGAGAGAGAGAGGGAGGGAGGTAGAGAGAAGGGTTATGTGCAGAGTATGGAATTTTGGATGGGTGGTGGTGAGGAATTGGGTATGGATAAGGTGATATGGGTTGGACCAATGAGAAGTTATGATTTTGATACGTAGTCTTACCCACACCTTGTTTTCTTCTGACTCCATATCTATTTTTTGGACGAGCTATTATCTATATGTCTAGCTGTCACATGACGCTCAAGGTAGGGGTGCAACCGACCCGTGGGCCTTTTTTTTAACCGAACCAGTACTACCGGTTTTTGAAAAACCGATAATCGAAATCGAACCGTTGCCAATTGGTTAACTAGTTAACCATTGGTTTGATTCGTCAGTTTTTTGGTTTTTTAATTTTTATAATATATATTATAAAAATATATATAAACATATAATAAAAAATTACAAATATATATAAACTATTATATTTTAAATAATAAATAATACATTATATATTATAAATTTATTTTTATATATAATGCACATTTATTAATTTATAATATATAAAATATATAGAAATATATGTATACTGGTCGGTTTGGTTAACCGTTGGTTTTCTATATTGGTTAACCGAAACTGAACGGTACCTTTGGTTTTTTAAAACACCGAACCAACCGATTCAGTTAACTGATCTCTTAGTTTAGTTTCAGTCGGTTTTCTCAGCCTATTTGGCTTTTTGGTTTTTTTGTTCACCCCTAGCCCAAGGCACATTCCACTGTGCATTGAGAGCATCTCCCGTACTTATGTATTTATGTATTATTATTAGGGGTTTCCACTATTTGGTTAATCGAACTATGGGCAATTTTTGCAAACTGAATTGGTATTATCGGTTTTTCTATTTCTTCAAATCGAAATTGAACCGGTACCACTGGTTAACTAGTTCGTCGGTTTCAATTTTTGACCAGTTTGGTTCTTTAGTTTTTCAGTTTTTTTATATTTATAATATATATTATATAAATATATTTATAATATTATATTATAAATAATAATTGATATATAATATATTATAAATATTATAAAAATATATAACATATTTATTAATAGATTATTATAAATATAATATATGTATATATATATAATGAAATATATATTTATATATAATATATAGAAAATATGTGACATATATTAAAAATATATATAAAATATATATACAGGTCGGTTCGGTTAACTACTGATTTCTTATAGGTTAACCAAAAACCAAAATAATCCTTCGATTTTTCAAAAATACCAAACCAACTGGTTTGGTTAATCGCTTTTTCCGATTCGATTCGTTTTTCGGTTTTTTCAGGGACACCCCTAGTTATTATTTATGGGAGATGTTCCCAATGCATGGTGGGATGTGCCTATGAGGTCGTTGAGAGGTGCCCTGTGTGAGGAGCAAATCCCAATTTAGTTGCTGAGCTTTACTATATTATATCTACATGCCCATTGCAAGAATTGGGATCCGCTCCTCACAAGCGTGCCTCAGACATGTCTCATAGCCACATCCCACTCTATAATGGGAACATCTCCCATGAATATTAAATACAAGTATGGGAGATGTTCCCGATGTGCGGCCAGAACATGCTGTGAAGTCGGTGTGAGGCGTGTTGTGTGAGGAGCAGATCCGAACTCCCATTGCACTACCCAAGTGCCCAGTCACAGACCATAGGCTGTGGCTACTTACGAATGGTCATTTAGTTTTTGCTCTATATTTTAAAACTAGCGGGCCCTCATGCGATGTACAGAGTTGGACTTAAAACATATTGTATATTGTACTATGGAGCTATACAACCTAAGGGTAGGGATGGCAATTTTCTCCATCTCTGCCAAATACCTAGCCTCCTCGATTAGGTGGGGATAGGGATGGTTAGCGGGGACAAGGTGGGGATGGGATTAATAGGAATACCTGATTGGAGACGGGGAGTGAAGTCCACACCCTGCCCCGACCCTGATTATAAATTAAATATATATTAATCATATAATATTATTTATGTTATTTATAATATATATATATATATATATATATCAAAATGTATTTAAAATGTTATTTGCATTTTAATTTTTCCTTTATATTAAATAAATACCTTTCTAAAAACAAACTTTTAATTAAAAAATTCAAACATTCAGGTTCTCGATGGGAAATCCCTCTTCATTGAGGATTGGGGATGCAGGCTAAAATTTTTGATGGGGATTAATTTAAAACTTGAGGTCGGGATGGGGAGTATGATCCCAACCCGAACCCACCCATTGTCATTCCTATCCTAGGAGTCATCCCCTAAACCCCTAACACACCCAAGTATCCAATACTTGGGTGAGTTGGAAGTTTTATAATTTTAATTTCACTAAATTACCAAAATCACTAATTATTGCTAAAAAATTATAGTAAATATCAAAATGATTGAAAATATAAAAAATAAATTTATATTTTTTGAAATTAATTTTTTACTAAAAATTATTGATAATTTTTAATTATTAAATTATTTATTAATATTTAATTAATTATTAATTTTTACTAGTTATTGATTTCAAAACTAGGGTGGTACTTAGGTATTTTTTCAGTCCGTTAAACGCGAGCTGACACTCATCGGTCCACACGAGGTCTTTGTTTTTCTTTATTGCCTTAAAGAAGGGTAGGCCCTAACCCGCCAATTTAGACATAAACCGGTTGAGGGCAGCTACCCGACCAGTTAGTCTTTGTACTTCCTTAACTTTCTGAGGTGGTTGCATATCTAGTATGGCTTAATTTTATCCAGGTTGGCTTCAATACTGCATTGGTTTACTATGTAGCCAAGGAATTTGACCAACGTGACCCCGAAGACACACTTGTTCGGATTGAGCTTCATGTTGTAGTTTCTTAAAATTTGAAAAACGCAATTTAAATCATCAATTAAAGAATTTGAAATTTGGGTTTTCATGAACATGTCAACAACATAAAATTCAATTTTATTCCCAATTAATGGTTCAAAAATTTTGTTTACAAGTCGTTGGAAGGTTGCTCCAGCGTTTTTCATTTTGAAGCGCATCACTTTATAACAGTACAACCCTAGCTCGGTTACAAAGGCGGTATTGTCCTGGTTAGCTACGTCCAGTCTAATCTGGTTGTAGCCAGAGTAAGCGTCCATGAAGCTCAGCAGCTCGTGCCCCGAGGTCGTATCTACCAAGCGATCTATCCGGGGAAGTGGGAAGCAATCTTTCAGGCAAGCTCTATTGAGGTCAGTGTAGTCGATGCACATGTGTCACTTGTCGTTGGCCTTCTTCACGAGCACGGGATTTGCCACCCAACTCAAGTAATGGACCTCTTCAACAAAGTCCGTTGCAAGGAGTTTCCCGACCTCCTCGTCTACTACCCTCCACTGCTTTGGGGCGAGGTTTATTTTTCTTTGTCTAACTGGCCTGACTAAGGGGTCCACATTAAGTTTATGAGTAATTAAGCTAGGGTCAATACCGGGCATTTCTGTCGTGGACCAAGCAAAAACATCTAAATTACCGAGTAAAAAACTTACTAGTTGCAACTAGAGAGGTTCGTTTAGTAGAGCGCCGATCTGAAGGATCTTCGTCGGCTTGGCTTCGAAGACCGATACATGGACTATTTCCTCCATCGGGGCAGCTTGCTCCTCGGTATGTTCAAGTGGGGGTTCTAGTTCGACATCTTTTGCCAAATTTGCCTTACCCTTTAACGCTGCTACATATCACTTGTGTGATTACAGTTAATCACCTCGTACTACCCCCACTCCGCAGCTCATCAGAAACTTCATCGACAAGTAATAGGTCGACACGACAGCTTAGAAGGCGTGCAAAATGGGCCGACCTAAAATTGTGTTGTAGGAGGATGGAGTTGCGACCACGAGGAAGTTGTGTTCGAAGCGCACTAAATTGGGTTATGTTCCTTCTGCAACTAGCACTATGATTCGGCCGAGGGGCCTAACCACCTCGCCACTAAACCCCACTAGAGGTGTATCTGTCGTCTCCATGTCGCTTCGCTACAACTGCAACTTGTCGAAGGCTTCCAAAAATGAGACATCGGCTGAACTTCCCGACTCCACCAGTATTCGCTTCATCTCGAAGTCGTTAATCACGAGCTTGACAACCAAGGCATCATTGTGCGGATATTGAATCCCACGTGCGTCGTCCTCGGTGAAATAAATGGGCTCTTCAAGCCGAGGTCGCTTTGGTGGGTTCTTCGTTTCTTGCTTCAACTCTCGGACCGAGGTCTTCCCTGCTACCGTGGTACACCCCACAATAATGGATCCACTGGGGATCATGTTAATCACCCCGCGGATCGGCCTGTCTCCAGGTGGTTGTGGTTGCCGAGGTGACGGGTCATACCTCTTGCTCGGTTTTGGGGCTTTTCTTCTTTGATCGGTCTGTCAGTCTGTCGTCTCTCTGTTACTGTGCTGAATATATTTCTTCAGATATCCGCGATGGATCAACTCTTTGATTTCCTCCTTGAGGTTTCTGCAATTTTCTGTACTATGCCCGATGTCCCGATGGAAGTGGCAGTAAACATTCAGATTCCTTTTCGTTGGATCTCCTCACATCCTTGGTGGCCACCTGACATTAAGGTTGGAATCGTTGATTGCCATCAATATTTCACCCCGCTTCGCATTGAGGGGGTGTAAGTGGTCCTTTCAACCGGTGGGGTTCCAGATCGCTGACTTGACCCAGCACCCTGAGGTGGCAACTTACTCCTCTTGTGTGGGGACTTGCTCCTCCTCGATGACTTGCTTTTCCGCGACTTACTCCCCTTTATCGCCGCGGTGAGTCGTATGGCCGGGTCGAGGTCAAGGATTTGCAWGCACTCTTCGTTGAATCTACTGATGTAACTTCTGATGGTCTCATTATCCCTCTACACCGCATCTAGAAGGCCTGTTGCGGACTTTGGGAACTTCTTACATGTGACGAAGTGGGCAGTGAATTTATCGGCGAATTGCACCCAACTCTTAATCGAGTGGGACTGCAGTCCAAAAATCCCTATTTTTTATTGGTATTTACTTTTTTGATATTTCTATTGATTTTTTATACAAAAATTAGTAAA